AAATTTGTCACCTTTATTCCCTAATATAGGCCATCCAATTGGAAGTAAGAAAAAAAATACTTTTCTCATGGATTCACAGTTATGTTTTGAAGCACATCGATATGCTCTGTTCAATACCGGAGATAAGCAAATGGAAAAGTTTATCGAGTAAGATAATTTTATATATGTTTATTTATATTTTATATTTGTTTATTAAATGATTAAACTTGAAATATCATGATTGCAGGGAACATAAGAATTTAATTGTTAATCACGGTAGATCAAATGCATGGGAAAGAGCAAGGAATCATAGTCGGGAATTCAGTAATTGGTTTAAGGAGAAAGTTAAAAATATTGTAGTGCCAGATTATTTACGATGGCTAGCCAAAGGACCCAATACGGTTGCCAAAAGATATACTGCATATTTTATTAATGGATACCGTTTTCATACCAAAGAACGGGATTCCCGAGGCAAGACTCAAAATAGTGGAGTGACTTTATCGGCAACAACTGATAGTTTTGCTAGTGCTAGGGACCAAAATCCCATCGATGGTGAGGTTATCTATTATGGAGCTATTCAGGATATCATTGAGGTTGATTATTGGGGTTGTTTTAGCGTTGTACTATTTAGATGTGATTGATTTCGTAATGAAATAGATGATTATGGGTTAACTCGGGTATACTTCAATAGATTATGCAGTACAGATGACCCTTTTGTATTGGCATCACAAGTTTATCAAGTTTTTTATATGGAGGATCCAACTGAAAAAGATGTTTATTATGCAAGGAATAAAGTACCTGTTGATTTGTATGATCTAGAGGAAGAGAATTGTCCCAATATTGAAGACACATTTTGGAGGGAACCTAATAATGACATTGGTTCCTCCTCTAGATTACTTGATGTTAACGTTAGATGGTCAAGAGAAGATCTACCCGTTGATATTGTCAATATTCCAACTAAAGCACAACATTCACATGATATGATTATAGAATCGGAAGAATCGGAAGAGGAGGATGGGTTTGATGATACTGATTGGGACTGGATGGAAGCAGATGATTAAATAAGAAAGTTCTGAAATTCTTTTAAATATATTCTTTTTAGAGTAAGTGATAATGCATTTATATATATTAAGATTATTTTTTCTATTGTCGATCACTTCTTTTGATACTTAAGATTATTCTTTTTATGAAGCGGTAAAATGAACTGTGGGTGACAGAGCTGCTTGCAAGGTCTTTATTACACTTGGTCAACTACATTAGTGTATTACCCCTTTAATTTTGCTTAACCTGTTAGCCTACTTTGTTAGCATGAAGTGAACTGATTTGGATGTCTCACTTTTACATGGTTACTCTAGATCAAAGTATACTTTTCTTAGCTTAGCTGTACTGAGTATTTATATCTGCGACAAATTTTATCAAATGCAATCTATTGTGTTTCTATTTGTGTTTGATCACAAGCTTGTTTGATGATGACCTGGAGCGCGTTCTAGCATTTCCGTCATTGTTTTGCTAGGGTGTTTTGGTCCCTCTACAGTAGCAAATGTTGGCCATTTAGTTTGAAATGGATGTTGAAATTTGGTTTTGGTGTCATGGACTCTTAGGGAATCAATTTTATGAGTCTAAGCCATAAAATAGGTAAGATACTGGATCTTGCGTTTGGATAGTGTGGATTGCTGCCTAATTTCATAAGTTTTTGTTCTTGCATCTAATTCAGCAGCTTGGTCATCTTGGTTGATCACCTGTTTGTTTTTTTCTCCTGTAACCTTGGTATTGACAGCCCCGGAATTTGCTCGATCAACTGTTGCATTCACTGATACCTATATAAATAGAGTCGAATCCAAGATCCAGAGTCAATCAATGATATTATATATGTACGTTTAATTTCTTTCTGCATATATATGTACCTTTTCTGTTGGATAGACAGTATTCTTGCAGCCAAAACATTTCTCCCTTGTTCCAACAAACATGCTTGAAACTTTAGCTGCCTGTGGTTTCTGTTTCAAATATTCAACTTGGATTAATTATTTACAATTTATCCTCTCATATGTTGACAAGATCGAGTTATTCATTTGTCACTTACCTCATCTTTCTCTGGCTTCAGAATTTTTGGTGTCCCTAGAATAATTTTAATCTATCAATAAATTTTCTAATTTGCAAAAGTTGATTTGAAATGTATGCACTTTTTCTCTCTACCTTCAAAGCTTTTGTCCAGACTTCTAGTTCTTTTAAAGAGCTGATCAAAGTGAGGTCTACAGTAGAGAACTCCATCAAAGGAATTATAGTTGCTAAGCTGCAATTGAAGACAATAATAAGCATTGAATATTAAGATGGAAAATTGGATTAACAAGTATAAATCTACTTTCTTACTGAAATCAAAAAATGAAACATTGAATACAAATCTGAACAATGAATTGGCTAAGAATCTAGTACTAGATAAAAATGGACAAACCTTGAGAGTACCCTTGCAGTGATGGCATCTGAAACAAGCTTTATGATAGACTCTATTGTCTGCAGTTAATTTATCAACAAGAAACACTGTCTTTTCACATGCCATACATTTCTGTGTTGGTCCTGCAAATGCCATTATTACTGAACCCATTAGTTTATTACCTTACTGTTTAATTAGTTTGCGAATTGGACTCACTATAAATACCTACGCATTGACAGTTGTTACATTAAAATTTATATGGTGACAGTGAACAGACTTTAAACTCATTGAAAATAACTTGGCAGTAAGAGTGGAAATAAAAAGTAGAAACTGATCCATTGTATGTTTTATGCTATCTATTTTGTTTGAACTTTTATTTTCTTTCTCGTTGTTTTTTAACTAATATAAGTTACTCTCCTGTTAGTGATCAGCCTT